ATTACATTATAATTTAATAATTAATACTTTTTTATTACACATATTTAATTAAATACGTTTTTTGATTTTTTACTTATTTAAATATACAATATATTTAAATATTTATAATTACACTTATTTAAATACGTAATTTAATAAATGTTGAAAATTTTTTACTTACTAAAGTTGAAACCACTTTTAACTCTTGCTTTTTTATCGCATCTCCTTAAATATTCACATGAGAAACACGATTCTTTTGTAATATAAAATAAAAAAATGTCGCGAGAATGAAGTTAATTGCGAGGCACTCGCGCGTCACCCGGCTTTGTTCTCGGCAAATTCTTCGCGCAAATTACCGTTGCAGTTTACAATTTATGCATATTGACAGCGCGTAATAATAAACGTAACGAGGTCGCGGGAATCGATAACCTCGGTGAAAGAATGTTTCTTCAATGCTGCGTGCAAATTGACGATCCCTCGGTACGAGAGGACGGATTATTAAATGACACTACGAACGATGGCACGCTCTTCGTAATTATGACGATAATAACTTGCTAAGTTTGCAAGTAAAATGCAAGTGCTCCTCCCCTGACGACAATCTTACAAATGCTGAGGATGGATTATAAAGTATCCACTATGAAATTCTGCTTTTAAATTCTCTCCTCGTAGCTCAGTACACATTTACGACGTCACATATTCCTAGCATAATGCCCAATAATGACACGGCTGAGTTATGCTGGAATATGGGAGCCGCAAAAATCAAATGTAAAAAAATCTTCTTGTTTGATCAACAACAACAGATGATTTCATCGTACCGTACTGTTAATAAACAGAGCATAATACTTCTAACGATACTTTGCAAAGTTCTTATACTCTGTTTACCGAAAGCACAGCGCGCACATTTTGCAATAAAAATGTCATATCACTATAGGGCGTCGTTGAACACTGTCGGATATTATATTTAATCCGAAATATAAGTTTGATAGTTATTTTAGTTGCGAATATCTTTTCGCAAAAGGAGATACACACTTGTTTTACAAATTGTCAAGTCAATTAGTGTAATTATAACATTTGAGGAAATGTAATAACGCAATGTCTTTTATGATGTATTTGACAGCCATTATATTTCTAATTCAATACAAAAATCTAAGTCATAAATTTTTTTACTTTCTAATTTATTTATTTTATTATTTTTTATTTCATGTATATTGTATGTTGTATATAATATTTATTATTTATAACTTTTTAGGATTTTATAACTCTATTAATGTATTCAGCACAACTCACAGAAATATTTTAGTGTCATAGTTATATTTCAAAAGTTATACGTCACAAATGTCCAGATTTTAAAATATATTATTTTCATGGATTTGGAATTTAATTATCGTGTCTTATGCATCCTAGATGATTACAAAAGTATCGGTCACTTCGCGAAAAACATTACTCGGTCTTTGTTATTCACATCCGTTTTAGCAGGGGAGCAATTATTTCGATCTATCATTTCGCGGCTCGATCTCGACACTGAATTCAAGGTGCCAAGTATCGTCGTTTCTTAAGACGACTAACTGAAGTGCCCGATCCACGATATGGAGTATTTATTTACCGTATACGAAACTGCCCTAGACATAATATAGCCCGGAAATGCGATAAAGGGTATTAGTGACAGCACACAGGACTTGGCGCACAAACCGTTCTTCCTGATGCGTTTAACATCCGATACAAGTTTTTTGTTATTTCACGTTATTATCTTTTACATTATTGCAAAATTTTATTACTTTATTTTACTTTTATTTGTCTGAGAGAGAGAGAGAGAGAGAGAGAGAGAGAGAGAGAGAGAGAGAGAGAGATTTTATGTGACCAAAGGTTCTTTTAATTTTGACGCATCTGTTGGAGAGTAAAATTAAGATATGCATAATTAATTAATTAAATTTTATTTCTTTGCATATTAAGTTTTACGAATTTAATATAGAAATAGTAATATGATTAATTGATGAATCTTTTCTACGCCTTTTTTATGTCATCTTTCTCATTTATTTGACATTGTTTCATTAAATTTTAATTTCTACTTTCTAAAAGAGTTAAAAAGAGTTTGAATAAAAAATAAAGAAATAATAAAAATCGAAGATCTTGCGTAAATAAATAATAAAATATTCTATTTTGAAATACAAAAAATTTATAAAAATGATATTGAAATATTCCGGATATTGAATTCAATTTAGATTATATATTTCTTTTTATGTACGCATTGTAAATAAAAAAGTTGAATGTTACCTTTAAGAGATTACTTGATAATCACCTTATTAGCTTCGCAATAATGATAGCTCCTACTGAGCGGTATCATCGCTAAGGAAAGATCGGTAAAAATATCCGGTCATTATCGCGGTACACTTGATCGCATTCATGGCGATCAGCCGGGGTGGCCGAGGAATAAGCTTGCAGCTGCAATTGCGCGAGAACGAGTCGGATAACAGACACCATATGAACGGGTCAAAGTGTTATCCGAAACCGTCATTGGCCTTACAAATGAGACTTGCAACGCTTTGCAATACCAGCTCCCCGTTTCTTCAAGAACTTTTTAATCTGTTTTCTCTTACTTACATAATTAAAGCATTTTTTCATCAAGATTAAATAGCTTAATTAAGACTGGTATATGAACACATAAAAAGAGAGATAAAGTTTATTCATCAATGGAAAACCAAAAGAATCTCTGGCTTCTCTTGGTTTTATCTAATCTGATAATTTATATATATTTCTTATATTTATAATATAAATTAAAAATATAAAAATGTATATATAGAGTGTGATATCCCAAGATAATATTATAACTTTTAGAAGCTGATCTTTTTTTGTTCATTGCATTACATTGCATTAAAAAAGTCTGAGAGAGAGAGAGAGAGAGAGAGAGAGAGAGAGAGAGAGAGAGAGAGAGATTTTATGTGACCAAAGGTTCTTTTAATTTTGACGCATCTGTTGGAGAGTAAAATTAAGATATGCATAATTAATTAATTAAATTTTATTTCTTTGCATATTAAGTTTTACGAATTTAATATAGAAATAGTAATATGATTAATTGATGAATCTTTTCTACGCCTTTTTTATGTCATCTTTCTCATTTATTTGACATTGTTTCATTAAATTTTAATTTCTACTTTCTAAAAGAGTTAAAAAGAGTTTGAATAAAAAATAAAGAAATAATAAAAATCGAAGATCTTGCGTAAATAAATAATAAAATATTCTATTTTGAAATACAAAAAATTTATAAAAATGATATTGAAATATTCCGGATATTGAATTCAATTTAGATTATATATTTCTTTTTATGTACGCATTGTAAATAAAAAAGTTGAATGTTACCTTTAAGAGATTACTTGATAATCACCTTATTAGCTTCGCAATAATGATAGCTCCTACTGAGCGGTATCATCGCTAAGGAAAGATCGGTAAAAATATCCGGTCATTATCGCGGTACACTTGATCGCATTCATGGCGATCAGCCGGGGTGGCCGAGGAATAAGCTTGCAGCTGCAATTGCGCGAGAACGAGTCGGATAACAGACACCATATGAACGGGTCAAAGTGTTATCCGAAACCGTCATTGGCCTTACAAATGAGACTTGCAACGCTTTGCAATACCAGCTCCCCGTTTCTTCAAGAACTTTTTAATCTGTTTTCTCTTACTTACATAATTAAAGCATTTTTTCATCAAGATTAAATAGCTTAATTAAGACTGGTATATGAACACATAAAAAGAGAGATAAAGTTTATTCATCAATGGAAAACCAAAAGAATCTCTGGCTTCTCTTGGTTTTATCTAATCTGATAATTTATATATATTTCTTATATTTATAATATAAATTAAAAATATAAAAATGTATATATAGAGTGTGATATCCCAAGATAATATTATAACTTTTAGAAGCTGATCTTTTTTTGTTCATTGCATTACATTGCATTAAAAAATTCTTAAGAGGATGCCGGATACCGACAGAATGCGAATATTAGTAGGATTGCAAAATATTTTTGTTGATTATAGATATCAACAAATCCTTTTCCATAATTAAAGTATACATAATAACGGAGTGCGGGGTTTATGATTTCATATGAAAAGTGAAAAAAAATTAAAAAATTACAGTTTTGTTATCGGCTTCTGCCGTCAACATTTACTTAATATAAAAAACCTGCAACCTGCACGTGCCTAACAAGTGAACTCCGCACTCGGCATTTTATCAAAAAGTATTAGTGAACTTCGAGAAGTGAGTTTAGAAGCTTTATAAAAAAGATTTTACTATGCAACATTTTGCACACCGAAATGTTTCTCACTAGGCTTTCAAATACATTTTCAAACGTTCACTTATATTCCTTCATGCATTTCCGAGTGGAGAGGTATCCTATTTTACACGTACACACCGCAAAACCCTTATATTAAGCAAATATATAATTATTATGGCCGGTAAAACAGGACGGTCCGGCATCCTCTTAAAGATAGTTATTATTTAATTTTTATCATTATATTATTATTATGTGTATTGCATTGGGATAATATAAGTATAGTCTCAACTTTTAATTAAAAATTGGATATTGTGTGTGTGTGTGTGTGCATATATGTATGCAGATATTTTAATATTTTCGGCAAGTTTGAAATATAGTATGTAGAGATTAGAGATGACTCTATCATCCAATTGTCTTTCTATAACTTTATGATGCAGTCCCATGATGCGGAATGTATGGACTATCACATATCAAGGACAAAATTTCTTTGTCCTGATTAATTAATTTAATTCAATGTTATTTTACCTCACGAGTTGAATTTCCGAATGCACCTTAAAAAGTGCCAACAGATGTCGACACAGAGCATACTATGTAATTAAGGTTATGTGTGATAACTTTCGACGCGTAGCATTTTTAGTAAACAACAGAAAGCAATATAATTTAATACGCGAGTGATATATTTTTGTTTTGACATTAATTTTAGTCGCAATGTTCGAGGCACACAGCATTAATGCAGAGCACAAAGATCTCATACATGATATTGCCTACGATTATTATGGCGAACGCATGGCGACATGCTCCAGCGATCAATTTGTTAAGGTATAGTGAATAAGAAAATGGTAATTTATTTCTTTCTTTTTCTGTTTATATTTACGAATTTAATCATCGTCTCTTGTGGCGTTTCGCGCGATTAATATACGAATATTAGAAACATAGTTTATAATTAATTATTTAAGCGTCACTACTTTCTTTGTAAATATATCTGTACAATGAAACATGTCGCAGGTCTGGGACGAAGATGAACATGGAAATTGGCATCTAACTGCTTCTTGGAAGGCTCACAGTGGTTCAGTGTGGAAAGTTACTTGGGCACATCCAGAATTTGGTCAGGTTCTTGCTACATGTTCATTCGACCGTACTGCTGCTGTTTGGGAGGAAATTGGTAAATGATGAAGATTATTTTTTTTATTAATTTTTTTATACAAGCTTAGTATTCTCATCACATTTTTTTATCTGTCATGTCTTTTCTCTTTCTTGACAGTTGGTGAAGGTTCAGGCCCAGAGGCACGTGGTAGTAAGCATTGGATTAAAAGAACAAACTTAGTTGATTCACGTACCTCTGTTACTGACGTAAAGTTTGCACCAAAGACTTTAGGCCTTTTATTGGCCACTTGTAGCGCAGATGGATTCATTCGGATATACGAGGCACCAGATATCATGAATCTGAGTCAATGGACATTACAACATGATATCAATTGTAAACTTTCATGTAGCTGTCTTACATGGAATCCATCTCTTTCAAGGTAAGCATATATATTTATTTTTAGCCTTTTGTTGATGTGATGTCACAAAAAATATAAAATGATTTCTTATATATTATATAATATTACATTCTTTTTTTTATATTGACATTAGAAAAAATATATTTTAGATTACATCCACCTATGATAGCAGTTGGTAGCGATGACTCAAATCCATTGCTTGGTGCAAAAATTTTTATTTACGAATATTCTGAGAGTAGTAGGCGTTGGGTGAAGGCTGAGACATTATCAAGCATTACAGATGCTGTTTATGACATTGCATTTGCTCCTAATTTAGGCAGGAACTTCCATACATTGGCTATAGCCACGAAGGATGTACGGATAGTTACCTTAAAACCAATACAGTGAGTATGAATATTTAAAGCTGGATCAAAAATTGCAAACAAATTAAGGTAATAATAAAAACATTTATTATCTTACTTTTTTAGGGATAGTATGCAGACTGGTGTGTCACATTTTGAAACAAATGTAGTTGCACAGTTTGATGATCATTACTGCACTGTGTGGCGTGTTAGCTGGAACTTCATGGGAACGATTTTAGCGAGTTCCGGTGATGATGGCTGCGTTCGATTGTGGAAGGACAATTATATTAATCATTGGAAATGTATTTCTGTCCTCAAGGGAGACGGTACCCCGGTTCAAGGTGCCGAAACTCCCGTTTTAGCAACTCCTCCGAATTCATCTACGCCAGCTCAACAGACGCCGTCTACCACCAGGTACTATAAACTGGGTACCATCAGTCATCCAAACCAAGTACCTTGGCATTAGAAGATTAATTAATTTCTAGAATAGACAACTGTCAATTATTTTGAATTTATTGATATATTTACTGATTATGTCAGTTTCTATTAGATAGTAAAAGTGTGTGGAGCGTACATTCTCTTTGTTATAATAAAATTGTGATTTATCTGTGTTCTCCATCCATGTAAATCCTTAGTTCACATATATATATTTTGTTTCGTTTATAATATGTTTGTTTATACACAAATTGCGTCTTTTTAATATTGGCTCTATTTTTTAAAGCAGTCACAATGTTAAACATTTACATCAAGCTAAACATATTATTATACATAATATTGTGTTCTGCACTATTATTATAAACTTACATTTTATGTAGAACCAATTTCTCCTTTTTTTTTTATTTAGACACGCTCTGCTCGATTGTCACGTTATTATTTATTAGTCTTAAAATACTGAAATATTGATCATAAAAAAGCGCAATTTATATATGTAATATAAAATATATAAACAGTTTTTGAGGATATGAATGGAGGATATGAATGTCATAGTACGGATATGTATTTGTTAAAATCAGACTCTGAGAGAAATTTCTAATCCACTCAAATTTTGATAAATTATTTTTTACTATCGCAAATTTATTACTGAAATAAATGGCGAAAGATTTGTAACATACTTTTTATTAATAAATGCTATTTCTGGATAATAAATACGTTTTTATTTTCTCTTCCCTCGATCTATCAATTTTTGTCAAAATTTGTCATTACGATAGGTATTTATTTTTTAAAAGATGATCTACACAGTGACAGTCTTTTTCGTTGCTTCGTTATCGTTTTGTCAGATAAGCGATGTTATGTCATATGTTCGTTGGAGACGGACCGCATCTGTTAATGCGCGATCTTTCTTCTTTTGTGCTCTCTCATTCTTTCTTAATCTTTTCTTAAAATCTATTTTTACCATTTCAGGGCTATAAGCATAACTACAGTCATGACGGAGAAGCCGACAGTTACCGTCATGTGCAGTAATAAATGGCAACCGCCCGTTATAAAGGGGCGTTTTAGCAAATCGGTATGGCTGGGTAATCCCAGCGAACTGACACCGCCACCGCTGCCGTTCATAGCAAAGAAATAATTGAGAAACAATTCTTTGCAATCTATCATGCAATGCAATGTAGTATTATTTAAAATAAGTGCATATATGTCGATTAATTTTAACTCGAGTATAATAACACATAATTTGGTATACTTTCGTGCGATAATGCGAAATTGTTTTTTTATACAATTCTACTTAGTTTTTCATAGTGATCTTTGAATATATATCGATAAGCAGATTGTGATATATATTGAAAATTAAACGTAAATAGATACATATATAGTTGTATAAACTTAACTCTATGTTTGACAGTATTGGAAATATTATCTTATGTTTTCACTTTTATTTCTTTTTATTGTTCTCTTAAAATTAAATTTCTTTACATGATCTCAGATTTGCGGAGCGCTCTCTCTCTCTCTCTCTCTCTTTCTCTCTCTCTCTCTCTCTCTCTCTCTCTCACTCTCTATCATTAGTATATAAAATATTTTGTTAAACATATTTCTAGAAGTGTTTGATTAATTACTTAAACTCTGGTACAAATTTGATTTTACTTTTAATTTTGGAAATTACATGTTTATAAAGTGTAATCATATCGATGCATATATAACATGTCTTCTGAAAAAAAAAAAATTATTTTTTACATGTTGTTTTAAGAATAAAAAACGAGCAAAATAAAATGCACCATGCAGGATATTCAAGATAAGCGCAGTATTTCGTTATGCCATATTAAAAAAGATTCACATTACCATAAATCACTACAAATACCATCGACTTTATTATTATTGTGAAACATCCGTTAATTATATCTTTTTTTGTACGTATTTCAAATTAATTTCGACAAATAAGCTATTCTATAACACTGAATAAGTATATACACACACACACATATATATATATGAAACTTGCATAAATGTCGTAAATGACATTGCTTCAAAGCAAACATTCATATCGACAAGGATTTTTTTGATGTATTCAGATTGCTTATTCAGACTGCCATTATATTGTTTCACATACTAAAATTATATCAAAAATGCAGCTGAAAAGAAATTAAACAGATTTTCTGTTTTTATGTAGATAACGAATTTTGTGAATTTCCGAAATTAATAATAACGTGTCATATAATTAATATCATCAATATCTTGTGCGTAATTATTAATATGCAAAGAACTAATGACTCACATAACCGAACCAGTAAGAAAAACTGCTTTAGATGTGATACAATACAATCTTCATGCTGCAGGTTGTGTAAGTATCGTTTTAATATTTCGTTATTTGTAATTGGAAATTTATAAATCTCTAAATTTCTAAATTTAAAAGTGTATTAAATTTTTATAGTAATAATATCAAAACGTGTAATAAAACACAAGAAAAAAAATCTGCACGTTAAAATTTTTTTTCAGATGGATTTACATAAATAAAATTTAGGTATTCGTTTGTTGTAAATATAATATAAATTTAACATAATACACATACACACAGAAAAGATTTATACATTATACATTAAAAAATCACAACATTAAAATTCATAATTTTCTGATTTGCTGCCTAATTTTTACATGTAGCAAGCATACATCGTTTATTTTTTCAGAATACTTACGTTACACGAGTTGTGTACTTCGGGAAGTATTATGGAACTCAGGAAGTTTTGCGGAAAGTAAATGCGTACTACTATAAATCATATTTTATGATTCAGAATTTTGCAATTGTAAATACAATGATCTGTGTAAACAAATTTTATTAAACTTTAAAATACATTAACAAAAATTTAACGAGAATAGCGAGTAAAATTCAAAGATAATTTTGGATTTGCGTTACGTAAAGAGATAATATTTTAATATTAACTCTTTGACTCAAGTTCTCTAATATCAATTATAATTAATATAAATAATAATAATAATAATACT